TTATTCTTTTTCTTTGCCATTCTTATACTATTGTTATTCCATTTAAAAGGTTATAAGGTATAGTTTGGATCAACACTTTAGAGGACAGGAATAAATCCTGTTTTTTTCCCCATTTGTTTCTTAATTTCCCAATTCTGGCTTCATTCCATTTTAGTTTGCAATTTCTTAAACAGAATACACATATATAGGTTTTCATGTCTGAATATGCATTTTCCTTTAGTACACCTAGTTTATATATTGGTTTGCTTAATAACTGCATTAAAAAAAACACCCAGTTCCTAATATATTACTTTTTATATATTATTTTCATTAATACATTAAATGTTGTTTGGATATTCCTTCCCATATGGATTTCAGTACCTAATTAACTGGAAAACTGTATTAAACATTCTGTAAACATATGAACACTGAAATGCACTGAATGCGTTTCAAGTCTTTTATTTGTATAGGAAACACAGAGTTAAATTGACATTAGGACATAAATTTAAATAATATCTTGTCCATTCACAAACTTACCTTATGTGGGCTTGGCCTGTTGCTGTGATATAGCTGATAGGATTGATGATGACTGGTGAGATGGGTTCCTCCATCTCTGAGAATGCTTACAATTTGGGACTTGGTGGGCCTGGAAATGGTTAAGTTCACCCTCTCGCCACTGGCCTGCAGATTCACATGAAACATGAATGGAGGATTGAAGCATAAACACTGGCTACCTCTCAGACAGGGGTGAAATTCAGCAGGTTCTGACAGGTTCTGGAGAACCGGTAGAGGAAACTTTGAGTGGTCCGGAGAACCAGCAAATACCACCTCTGGCTGGGTCCAGAGTGGGGAGGGAATGGAGATTTTGGATTATCCATCCACAAGGAGGGGGGGCAGGAATGAAGATTTTGCAGTATCCTTCCCCTGCCACGCCCACCAAGCCACACTCACCGAACCGGTAGTTAAAAAAAATTGAATTTCACCACTGCTCTCAGAGCAAAGAATAGTCAAAGTAGATGCCAATAGNCCCCACTCCAGGGGAAGGATACTGCAAAATCTCCATTCCCACCCCACTCTGGGGCCAGCCAGAGGTGGTATTTGCCTGTTCTCCTAACTACTCAAAATTTCTGCTACCAGTTCTCCAGAACTTGTCAGAACCTGGTGAATTTTAGCCCTGATTCCAAAGTTACCAAGATTAAGAAACACCGGACTTGAGAACGAACATGAAGTATCAACTGTGAGCTCTGGTGAGCTCTTGTTAAAATTACAGATTAAAAAACAAAAAGGAGCCTTACTTGAGTCTTCCATCAAAATATGCTGGTGTCCCTATAACAATTGTTTTAATGAAGAAAGGCTGGTTTGTGTGATTTTCCTCATAGCCACCAACAATGCTAAATCCCCAGCTGGCTAGATTACTCCTTCTTAGCACAACGTCATGGTAACTATGCAGGCAGCTGTGGAAAACAAGGGCAAGGAGTTGTAAAATCTATTAAGCAAATCTGTTAGACCTCTCCAGCAAATAATAATAACTCTTTCAGGGTTGCCTGCACCCAACGAATTAATGATTTTTAATAATTAAAACAGTAAATATTCGGTAAGATGCATTTCTAAAGAAAACCTCTTCTTTCCCTGAAGTGTGGCCCACCTTTTAAATATCCAGGCAAAATATTAAGTCAACTGACCTCATATTCAAACCTGGATCCATATTCTATGAGATCAAGAATTCTGATGCTTAATTTTGGGGAAACCTTGGGGAAAGTAGCCTGAGGTCTTGAAGGGAGCAGATACATTTTAAACATAAAATAGCAGATAATAAATATATGACAAATCACTTTTATAGCTCCCCTTTTAAAAATGGACTCCTTTTTACCAAACAGGGCCTGCTTCTTCAGGGTTTTTTTGGGTTTGGGTTTTCACAAGAAACGGAAGGTTAATCCTGATAATTCTACCAAAAGGTACTGCTCTTATGAGCCACAGTGGCGCAGTGGTTAGAGTGTAGTACTGCAGGCTACTTCTGCTGACTGCTGGCTGCCTTCAATTTGGCAGTTCAAATCTCACTCGGCTCAAGGTTGACTCAGCCTTCCATCCTTCCGAAATGGTTACAATGAGGACCAAAATTGTTGGGGGCAATATGCTGATTCTGTAAACCGCAAAGGGAGGACTGTAAAGCACTGTAAAGCGGTGTATAAGTCTAAGTGCTCTTGCTCTACCAATCACTTATATTTATAGAAAGCTATAAAAATTACAATAATGTCTTCTATTTTTAACACATTATACTGTAAGAAAATGGCATGCACAGGATGTCTGAGGTTGAATATAGAAAAGAGCACAATTCTTCAACCGTGCTCATAAATGCAGACTCTACAGGAGGAGGAGGAGGAGG